AGCGTTTGACACTGGGGCTTACGGCTTTGTCTTTATAGAACTGCTTTGTTTTTTTTTTAAATTATATCCAACCAATGAGAAACAACAGGGGATTATCACGGGAAATTGGCGTTAATACAATGCATTTGTAGATTTAACTAGTTAGCCAGGAAACTTTACAGTCTGTGAGAGACTGAAGAAATCAGATCACGGGATAAATAATAGCATCGCGGTGGAAACACATAGCGTCGCGGGCAAATCCGATCACGTCGGGGTCCGCGACGCTGTTTTGGCCTGGGGAGAACACTGCTGTTATAATCGTGAATCGTGTCGTTCAAATACGTTTGTAATGCTGCAGTTTGCAATGTGGTCAAGGCGTTTTTTTTACGTTGTCGCAAACGTCGCGTTGTGACGGTAAAATAGTGAAATGAGAAGACAAGAGTATAGAATTACATTCTTTATTACTTGGTTAATTTATTTGACTTGATGGAATCGAAAACAAATTCTCTCCCTCCATAATTTTGCAAATGTAAAATATCAGGTTCCGTACAACGTATTATAAACGCTTGACCGTCTGAGCAACCTAAATAGCAGGCCGTTTTTCAACGACTTAACCAGTTAGCTAGCTGGAGTGGTAAATTCTAGCATACCCATATTGACGGCGGTTTTTCACCGACTTGACCGGAAAAGGGTTAAGTCTTATACGATGCTGCACAAGGTCACAATGCCCAAGATCATTATCATGCAAGGAGAAGGCATCAATGTTACGATGAAAGAACGATGTACCATTTTGATCTGTGATCCACCAATGGGAGATTCCAAAAGATTGAACTTCACACCCTTGATGACAACACTTGGATCTCTGTCACTGTGCTCATCTCTCTCAGTCTCTTCCTTGACCATTGTAGCACTCTGCACACGGGTCACAGCTGTCACTTCTCCAACAGCGTTACCAGGTCTGATATACACATTCTTGTTGGTAGTGTTAAACACATGAACTGGCAGTCTCGAATTAGACACATTACACTCCAACACCGTGACTGATGGCACAGCAGTCGCTTGCATTCTCATATTGATTATCAGCTCCACCATAACATACTTGTCACCATCAGGGCCATTTGGTAAGTCACCCATAATGATGGCATCCTGTTCTGGTCAAATGGCAAGGGGTCTGTCAATTGCTGCCTTGACCATGCCCAAGTGACCAGTACTACCAATAAACTTATGGCGGTCACTCAAATTCTTAATCACACGTCTACCGGTTGCAGACATGCGGCTGCTCTGCACACATTTTCTGGTCAACCAGCTCTGCTTAACATTTGCAGACATGTCCAGTAAGTTTGTGCCAATCGTGACTGGCACCACAGAACTATAGAGTGTTTCATCTGCTCCTCGAATTGAGAGGTCTTCCTCAAGGGGTTCAATAGGAATCTCACTCAGGTGCTCTCTATAGTACCATTCACTGACTGTAGTTATCTGAGATCCTGTATCGAATAGACATCCTGCTTTAATTTCATTCACCATCACAGTAGCCTTGCATGCTGATCCTACCACTCTGTCCAGCACAGGTGACTGCATCATGAGAACTTGGTTACCATCACCTTTTCTCGGCGATGACTGCTTCTTTCTCCCAGATTTACGAGTGTACCCAACATCCCGCTGCGACTGTGTATCCTGATTACTCTTTCCAGTCGTGTCTTGGTTGACCTTTTTTCTGTCTGGACACTCTCTTGCCAGGTGTCCTGGTTTGTCACACCGATAGCAGATCATTCTACTAGTGCCTCGTTCACAACGCAGTGGACATCTACGAAACCTATGCCCTTCATCACCACACTTGAAACATCCACGAGGCTTACCAGTAGCCAAGGACGCTGAGGGCGCTGGTGTTGCACTCGGCTGCACAGGAGCCTTCTCAGACTTATCCAGTCTAGACTCTAGTCTGTCCATTGCTTCTGCACATGTACCGGTGCAGCCAACGCTTCATTACTCTCCTGATCAGACACTACAGTCACATGAGCACGTGCAGCTGGTGTCTTCTTAGTCTCTGAGTTAACCCTGAATTTGTCCTTGCGGGCAGCCCGATCATGGACTTCCTACTCCGCATTGCGTACAACTGACAGCTGCTGATCGAACGGCATGCTATCCCAACGCTGGTGGCCCGCTATTTCACGTACTCTATCGTCGTTCAATCCATCCCAGAAACGATTGGCTAGAAGCTCGTCCATTTCCTCTGGACGTATACCACCACGTCTTACAACCTCTAAAGCTAGCTCGATACGCGTTGCAAACTCGCCAACAGTCTCGTTTTCTCGCTGCCCACTGTCAGCGAAAAATCTGTTGAGTAAAACGCGACCAGATTCTACTTCTCCGAAGCGGATTCTTAATATCTCTAATATATCATCAACTGAAGCGTCCGGTCGTGCTGACAAATATGTAGGCACGCGCAGTGTGTGTAACATACCTGAGCGGGAACTTCCTTCAGGGGAACCAAATTCCAAATCAACGTTCTGTCCACACTCACCTTGATCACTTAATTCTACAGGTACACCACCTTGCTGTCGGTACATGCTTTCATTGTTTGGTCTCCCAGTACGATTCTCCATAGGGCCTCTAGCATGTCGGTGCTCACCACGGCCACTGGGGAGAGAGTCTCGACCGAAATCCAATTGCAAAACACCACGACCTCCACCTAAAATCTGGCGTCGCCCTACTGGCGCTGACACAGGAAAAATGCGACCCCTCACTGCTACTCCCCTACCTTGACTGAGATCCAAGGCACCATGGGTGGGTGTCCCAGTATTTGCCACCCTGGGTGAATCACCAGTCTCACCGGAGACAGCAGCCCCTGTACACACTTCCATATCTCACTTTGTATGAGAATGTACTCACCTTCAATTACGTTAATACTCCTGCACATGTACCACAGATACGTCTCGACAATGACTCAAATACTGGCAAACTTCAATACTGTGTCCACAATTGCCAGACAATAATACAAAATTCAACTCACGCGCAAAGCACGCAACACTGGACAAATACAACATCAGACAACAAGAGAAAGAATCTCTATGCGGGCAAAAAAGCCAAATGTCCAAAAAAAAGGCAAAAAAATCACAAGGCCAATCTACTGGTCTCATCACAGGGTACAGCTGGTACACCAAAAAGTGTTCTATAAACACAAAAGCCGCATGTTGTAGGGCGCCAATGTCCCGCCCTCATCCACTTGTCGCCAGGCAACCAAACACAAACAGACCAATATTTCGGATCCGAAGTGGACGGAGGGGGAGCATAAATTTTTCCTCACTGTATAAAAGGGAGCCAGCACACACAGTCCCCAAAGTATGGTCCTCTCAATCCAAATCAAGGGCAATGGATAAGTATTGTGTCGAACCAGCTCTAATTGTACCCACAAACACGCTAGCACAAATAATGAGACCGTAATAATTCCAAACAACAAACAGTATTCAAGTCCACGTGATTTCACCGTCTGAGCTAGCATATGCAATTATATGTGTATGCAAATTGTAACCAATCCATGTTCGAAAAAATAACATATATATTTACATAACAATAAATATTCAAATTGTGGGGAGATGCAGTCTTGTGGACATCTGGTTGTTCAGTATAAATATGGCCGAAGAAAGTGAGATAAAGCCCAGACTCGCTCTGTGCCTCCTTTCCGACATGCATGTTAATATGCCGTCCTATACAGATAGGAAGTGTTTTATGAAGTCAAGAAGGAAATTGAAGAAAACGCGTCAATCAAGCAGTGGCATGGGGAGTGATAAGTTTGACATTGACACGACAGATTTTTCACCAGCAAAGCGTGGGAAAAAAGAAGAAATCCAAAGCAAATGAAACATTTGACGTCGGTGAGTTACCATCCGAACGTACCACGGACACCGGTGATAATAGTCCACTCAAGAAAAGGCGTAAAAAGAAAAAAAAACGCAAGTCGGAGACTGTCACCTCTGTCAATGAACATGCGATTACAGAAGAAGGACTGCGGGGGCAAACTACAGAACAATCAACACTTGCGAGTTTCCCTGAAACTATGAAAAAACGTGTTGTGTATGCACACGCATCGCCAATGGACATGCGTGATGATGAACTTGTATTGGACGAAAAAACAGGTTAACTATGACACAATATACCAGATGACTTCATAGTTGCAAATGACGACGATACAGATTCAGAAATCGATGAAGATCGTGCTGAGAATGACAATTTTTTAGAGCAACGTTACCCACCTGTACTCGATAGCGACATTGAAATTGAATCAGACACAGAAATTGGTGCTACATTCGATTATGTTTCCTCTGGCACTGGTGAATGAATGGAGAATGGCCACAGAGGAAGACTGCGATATATTTACCATTCCAGTTTTTGAACACGAACCTGGACCAACTTTCGAACTGCCTTCCTATGCTCGTGAGGTGGAATATTTCTACAAATTTATCCCACCAGAACTGATAGAACTAGCTTCCACAGAGACTAATAAATACGCCAGATATCATCAAAAACACATTGCAAAAAAATTAAATGCCCGCTGGCGTAATACAAATTTCAGTGAAATGCAAGCATTCTTTGGTGTGATGATATATATGGGTGTTGATCACAAATCATCAATCGACGATTATTGGTCGAGTGACCCCTTTCTGCAGAACATGGGAAT